GCAAAGCCATGTCTCGACTACAACAGCCGCCATTATCCCAATGTATCAAGTCACAGACCTACTACTACTACTACTACTACTACTACTGCTACTACTACTACTACTACTCCTCCTACCAGCACCGCCACGACCACCACCACCACGACCGCGACCACGATCACGACAATGCTGCTGCAGCTGGCACTGCCGCTGCCACTACGTACTGGTACTGTTTACTGCCACTGCTACAATCACGATCACGACGACAACAATCGTGGCAGTGCCACAGTGCTGCCATTACCACTTCCACGAGTACGACCACTGCAGTACTTAGTTTGCGACCTACTGTGCAGAAGCGGCACTCGCACGCTTAAGCAAAAGGAATACCTTGCTGGTGCAAATTCTTATAAGAAGAATTGGAGCTGAACAACTTCCCATGCAGCTTTTTAAGAGAAGCTCTGACTGCACGTCACAGCCAGGACAGTCAACAAAACTCTTGAGGCAGGCGTCACTTTTCTCCAGGAGCCGCAGGAAGCACCAAAAGGAGTCCAAGTCTCTGTGTCGGCTCTTCGGCGACACATTGACACGGGGACTCGTGCTGCCAAGGTTAGTAATTTGGTGCCGAGGCTGCCAGTAAGTGTTGTTGAGGTGGCTAGGCACTGGCTGATGCTGCCGGGGCTGTCGTATCAATCGCAAATGCAAGGCAGGACTAAGGTAGGCTTTGGACTGCCCCGGTTTAGAAGCTCTCACGAGTCGAAGTGTTGCAAGATGCACCGACTTCACAGCAGGATGCCGTGCAAGGATCACCTTAGCAAGCTTTGTGCTGGCCAGAGCGAACGTGGTTTGAACACTCATGTGTGCGAAGGTTGGTAGATGCACATCACATCGCCACATGAAGACACGGTCTCATACAGAAAGAATGGCGCATCAACAGATCGGGTTCTGCAACTGCCAACTCTTGAATTAGTGTGGGCGAGCCATCGCGATGCTTCCCTCTGTGCACTGCCCCGATGCCAGAAGCGAGAACTGAGTCATCCCAACTCCAAGGCAGCCCGGGAATGATGAGGCCGACACTGAGGCCGAAGGTGTGGCCGTAATATTTATCTGATCACAGTGGGGCTCAGGTTCAACAGGGATCTACGGCAAGCGGCCAGAAGCAAAACTGAGCTGGTAACTTCTGCACATGCAACCTCATGTCCACGCCTTCGTACACGCAGTACCCAGCAATGTCTGCCAGATCCTCGAGGTGACCCCGAGAGATCCCCCCGAGGAACACAGGAATTTGAGATTTGGGTAGGACGGTTGACATGACTCGTCGCCGTGCTACCTCAAATTGCGGCTTCCGTTTCGAGGTACATGTCGCTGTGCTTGAATCCAGCCAACCTCTTAGATGCCAAGAGTCGTAGCGACAGGCAGGGACATGGGGCTTCGGCTGCACCGTGAACCTCAAGTGTGAGTGGTGCTCACATCCACATTCCACCACATTCATCCGGATGCAACTGCCATTACCCTGTGAGGCTGCTCGCAAGCGGGGCTTTGAAACCCTGCGCAAACTGAGTAGGCCCGCTCCATGGAGGTGACGTTCGTATGATTTCTGAAGTCCTGCCGGGCCAGAACTCTCACTGCACAGCCATGTAAACTTGTATACCCCAAGTCCAACTATCAGGACTGTTCCTTTCAGGTGGATATCTTGAGGGACCAACCCGGCCAAGGAATCCCGCCCACCTTGCCCTTGCACGTCTCTATTCCAGCCGCGACATCCTTCAACCTGGGCAAACGCACAAGTGCAGGTTGCGGCCACGACCAATCTGCGGCAGATTCCAAATCGCGAAACTGAAGCATCATGCAGGCTTCAGGTTTACCCAACCCACTGCAACGTCAAGTGGCTCGAAGACACCCAGGTAGCAGTGGATACGCATCACTGCTCTCATCTGGGCCTGCGGCAGATGGAAACACAACATGCAGCACTTGGGCCAGGTAGCATGACATGCTCGAATCGTCGAACAGCTAGGACAAGATGGGATCGCTCCCCTATTCAGCAATGGAAGCAGGCCACCCTTGTACGTCGGAGTAGACAGTCACATACGTGCTGACAGCAAAAAGCCAAAAGAGCCTAGCACACACCCTGTCCTTCAGGAAGGTCTCCTCCACCTTTGCTTGTTGGAGAGTGCGGTTGTAGATAGTCCAGTTGCCATCCTTAGCTGCATGTGTCGGGCGCTGGCCGTACTTCCGTACGAGAGTTAATTCCTCAAAGAACACCTGAGTCTGTACCTCTCTTGCAATCTTCGCAGGTGCAGCTTTCTCTCGCCCCGTCCCTCCCTGTCTCCCTCTCTAGCCTTGTGAAGCGAATGCAGCTCCAAACGCCCAGCGCAACCGAGGCATACACACTTTACCCCGATTTCTCGTTCTGCAGCGAAGCATCGACACAGCCACCGGCTTCGCGGCATTTCTGACAACAGTAATCATCGTTCAGGGCTTCTCACTCTTCGGGATTGTGCTGTTGGCTTGCAGCTTATGGATTCGAAATGGCTGGGCCGTTTTGAAAGGACGAGAGCCCAGGTGTCAAAGCAGAGGCCTGCGGTCTCAGCTTGTTGGGTCTGAACGACAGCTCCACAAGCATAAAAAGGCGGCCTAACTGCACCGAGGTAGAATGTCGCACAAAGGACCCGATTCCCCGCCCTGCTTCCAACCTCCTTGACCGCGGCCTTATACGAGCACGAAGCCTCGTCCAAGGTGTCCTGAGGACAATGCAGGACTTCAGTGAGGCCGCGGACCCTACCGTATCCCATGCTGCAGACTGTTGGGCGAGCGCGTGAAGCCTTAGGATCGGCATGCCGTGTGCATCTTCTCCCAAGAGGGATCGCATCAAGGCATCCGCACCTGCGACTTGGCGCAGAAGGTCAAAGTCTGGTCGAAGGCCTCGGCATCTCCAGCTGAGGTCTCCACTCAGCGTGACAGTCAGCCTGGAGAGGCCCAGGCATTCTTGGCTTCAGCGGCGTTTCGCTCATACTCCGCCACGTCCTCGCTCAAAACAGTTCCAGCCACAAGCGGGATGCTTTCAGCGTCAGTTGCACGTGCAATCCTTCTATACTCGGAGGGATGCAAGTACTTCCAAACATCTAGCCAGCCTAGCCGCTGGCCAAACAGCTTCTGCAATCTGCAACCTAGTTACTAGTTACGTCTCATTGTACCCTCAATCTGAAACCTACCGACCACATTCCCATGCAAGCATGCTGTACAACACGACATTCAGTGCTCAGCAGTCCAACATTCCAACATACTCGGGCAAAAGCGTCTCACGGACCTAACTAAGCTATGTAAGCTCAAACTCTCCACGTCCTGCTTGGCGCGCTCACACTGCTCACCTGGACTGTGAGCGCTTTCTTCAATCCGAACAAGAATCTGACATATCAAAGCTGGGAGATGCCAGTACAAAGCAAGATGCGCGACTCGCGGATCTTCATGTACTCTTTGTCCCACCAAGCCAGCTGGTCTTTCAGGAAATCAATATACCTCATCGCAGCCATGACATGTAGGATCATGTAGGACTGCTGTGAGGCAAGCACCTAGCACCATGGCTTGTGGCCGCGTCCTTGAGAAGCTGGATACTTGAGAGGTGGCTACGGAAGCCAAAGGGGATGAGGGAGGCAAAGAAACTCGCTGCCTCTTTGAATCGTTGCTACTGGTGGGATGAATCAAGTTGCATCTCCGAATCCGGCCAATTCTGTAGCATGTCCTTATTACCTTGTCGTGTCCGAACGGTACTCACCGAAAGATTTCTGAGCACGCTCTCACACACACACACAACTCCTTAACCAAGCACATGTCTCACCTGCTTGCCTTATCTCATAACTTTTCTCAACAAATTGGCTGCAAGTGAAGAGGCTGGGGTTAAGAGGGCGGAGGGCTTAAGGAGAGGTGGGGGGGGGGACTGCGAGAACAAGGGACAGCACAACCGGTGATGGAATACTCCAACCAGAACGCTGCATGTCGGACCATTCGCAACTGAAGCATATCGGAACAGTCGCAACTGAAAAAACTTCAGGTAAGGCATAGCACATTCCAAGTGTAAGAGAAGTTGGAAATTTGGTTCAACTTACAGCCCTATATGTAAAGTTCACGTCTTCCTCAAGGTTGTGCTGCGAAAGGTTTGGGGGAAACGGTTTAATTAACAGAGAGCGAGCGAGCGAGGGAGCGAGCAAGAGAGAGAAAGAGGGAGAGAGAGAGAGAGAGAGAGAGAGAGAGAGAGGAGAGGAGAGAGAACGAAGAAAAATGTACATTTAACTACTTGATTAACTAACTAAAGATGTAACTCTTTGATTGAATAAGTAATTAGGCAATTAAGCGATGCAGTATAATCATTTAATGAACGCAAGACTGAACCAACATACGAATGCATGCATGCATGTAGAAATGCTTGAATGCATGACTGCATGAAAGAATGAATGCGTGAGTGAGTGAGTGAGTGAGTGAGTGAGTGAGTGAGTGAGTGAGTGAGTGATTGAGTGAATGAACGTATGGTTGTTTGTTATTGACTGAATGATTGGATGAATGGATGGACGGCTGAGTGAAGCGGCTGGATGGGTGAATGACTGAATGAACGAATTAACGAATAATTTGTTTACCTACTTGACTTGCTTATCTTATATGTCTTTACCATTGCTTACCGAAATGCCAACTTCTGAATTGACCCCATTGTGCCTTGTACCGCTGACTGCAGGGTAGCGGTCTGTGTTGAAAAGACAGTCCCTGGACGTTCCGACCTGAGTGAACGACAACACAGCAGAACAAGGCCTTCTGCACAAAGCCGAGCTTGGGGCAGGGAAGGTTCGGGAGGTCTCGTTGCCCGCATAGTATGCGCACAGGACCTCCATCCGCGCCTCAGCCGATTCTTGCTGGCATGGAATCATGGAAATACTGCAACATAGCGTAGCCTCCATCTGAAATCGGCGCTCTTGATTGTGGGTATCAGGGTGGTATGAATTCGAGTTTTCTCGAAGCGCCAAGTGCTGGAGTGTGCACTGCAAGCCTTGGCATCCTTCGCCAGCTCTTCCATGTCCTGCGCCCAGGAACTGCGAGAACGGTTTCTTTACACAGTTCTGCACAGCTTCATGTCGTTGTGAAATGGCTGCCATGTCATGTCCGGAGTCTGCAGATGCTCTCCGCGCTTGTTGTCTAGACACCTGTGCCCACTTATGTTGCAAACCGTGACTTGCGTTGCTATTGATGGTCGCTCCCATTTTGCTTGGATGCCTTTTGCATTGACAACCTATCGAAATTCTCCCGACCCTGCTGGCCCATTCCGCGTCCCCTTCTGAAGCACAGCTTCGGGACCGGCATTATGCCGTCGATTGCGTACGTATAGACAATCGATACAAAAAAAGTGCACCAGTCATGCAGGCCTCCCAGTACACTCGTACCTTTGCCTGGATCTGGCGGCAATTCCTGACAGTGATAATAACTGCGGCCACTGCGAGCAAACTGTATCCGTGATGCTAGTGGTTTGGGATGTTGCTCCCAACAATAACGGTCAATTGCCTGACTCAAGCGGCCTGCAGTTGCAAAGGACTGAAGATCGTTGCCCAAACTCTGGCTGGCTCTGGACGGCAGACCGGAAGCTGAAGCCAACCGCAGCCGAAAACTCTAAGAGCCCTTAGCAGCACCAACCGCAGCCGAAGACTCTAAGAGCCCTTAGCAGCAAAGCCAGTGTCGGATCCCAGGCCTGTGCTCGTCTGCCAGAGCAGGTAGTCGGAAGCCGTCCGGGCTGTAGCGAGAGAAGTTCTCCTGTGTGAGCTCAGTAGGGCTACAGCCTCACTTTCCAAGCGGGGAAGCCAAACCCATGCAAACTGCGTGCAAGCATGACCCTTGAGCAGTGCGCAACTACTGGCCCTCTCTGAGCAAGAGAGGTTCTGAGAAGCAGGCTGCCGTTGAGGCATTCTTGTAACTCTCAACGTCCTGTCAGCACAAGGCCAAGGTGCCAAAAAGAAGCACTGCAGGCTTGGGAGGACTGAACATGTTTCAATCTACCAGCATATAGACAATCTGCAGTGGAATACCTTATGTCTTCACACTAGATAGACACTAGATGACGTGGCCCTCAGAACACAGAATTGCACAAATCTGTCATCCACATTCCAAAACCCTGCTTTCAAAGCCAATCCCCCAAGTGTCCTCGACGAAGCACTTTAGGACGGCATCGTACTGGGCCTTCGTAACACGTTCGGACTCTGCAGGCCCCCAAACTCGTCTCCGAGCACTCAATCCAGATCAAAGGCCCCCGCAGCAAGAGCCCTCGTTGTGGCATTGTGCTGTTCGTAGAGCTCCTGCAAGGAGGAGAGCTCATACTCTGCGCACGCTGTGGCCAAAGGAACTTTTTGCACTCTTGGACATCGAGGCGATCTGCCTGGTGCGACGATGGTTATGTCATCCATGCAGCCCTGCGTCCTTTCTCATTTTGTTGTCAAGGATCGTCCGGACTTCTTCAATAAAGGCGACCCTGGTTCGCATGGACATGCATGGCACGGAAGCAGCACAGCAACACATCTCGTGAGATGCTGCCACGGCACATTCCGGGCATCGCCCCCTGGTTCACCAGCTGCAGCACCGATCTTGCCGCGTAAGAGGCCGGGGGTTGGGGAGTGAGCTGCAACTAGGTTTGAACTAGCTGAAAGATCGGGCATTCCAAGCATCGCTGCAGTAAGCATGCAACATCATGCAACGGAATACATGTAGACAGGTGCACTCTGTGGGCAGGGGACTCAATCAGCTCGACAGATCGAAGAGGTGGCGGGCTCAGGCATGGATTGCGCGTGCTGCAGATCTTGCTGCGAACTGGGCACCTCTCCAAATTAGCAAGCTCGGGGTCGTCTTCAGCTGGAACATCATCCGGACTCAGAGCGGTTCAGTCACTGCTTAGCACTTGGGACGCAGCGAGATGCGACAGCAAAAGCTCGAGTGGAAATGTTGAGGGTCACGGCACAGGGTTTTCATTCCAGGTCACTTCTGCCCTCTGTTTGTACCGAAGTGAACGCACCTCGACCCAGAACTCTTTGCCGCTACTCGCGCTTTCCCCACCACTTTCCCCACCACAACACTGTCCAAGCTTCTCTGATATCCAGCTGCTTCTGCCGTGTGGCTTCACCAGCGAGGCAACTGACTGCTTGGGCGCTGATGCGACAGGCCTTGCAGACATGGGGATAGCGCAGAGGTATGGCAACTATAGAACATGGAGGATGTCGATTCGTCGGTTCACCAATTTCAACAGCAGCGTTCGTTGGACTGTCAACTTGTAGTCTTCTGTGCAGTGCCAACTCCTGCCGAGCGAGATCGACGCCATGAAGGCAATACTGATCCGAAGCACATGACGCCTAGAAATGCAACCACCAAGCCAGGAAGAGCGATGAAGACTTTGATCCCAAAACGGTCAGTTTGGTCCAGGCCCACGGCTGGGCGGGCTTCGAGCTCAACTGGCAACCGCGCAGACATGTGAGCGAAGCCGTGTTGATGCTGCAGGCATTAACATGCGTTTCTTTGGCACGTGGCGGTCGGAACTAGAGCTGGCTTCGTGGGGATAGGCAATCGGCCACTGACTGAGCCCTCCATCAACACAAACCCAGAAATCCAACAAGCAGCGGCGATCTGTACAGCCACTGACTTTTCAACCTACGAAATTTGTAATTTCTAAAACCTTGTGAGCTCGGCTGTTAGAAGATAGAACGGGACACATCCGAAAGAGGTGAGTCCAGCACCGAGTAACCGGAAGCACTTCTAAATTGCTCTGAAAAACAAAGAGCACAGTAAAAGGGCACTCTGGCAAATATCATTCCACCTCTCCACTGCGATCGAAATCGTCTTCCCGCGCGTCAGCAACAGACCTGCCGCAGGCTATTGGTCTGGACTGCGCTTTACGTACGGGCTCATCTGGAACATCGCCTCTCCTCAAAACTGAGGGGCAAGCGGCGGTGCAATCTCAGCAGCCTCCTGGGCAGGACGTTGCTTGTCACAATTTGTCACATATCCCAAGAAACGCATGACCACAGAGAGGCTTGTGGCACCTCTGTCGCAGGTCCACACATGTGACAGTGCTGAGGCTGCAGACCCTTTGGAACTGAGAATCCAGAGATTCTGTGTCAGCGGAGGTCCTGCTGACAGTCGCAACGATGACTGTACCAAAAGCAGATAAGGAATGAGTGCTGAGGCCTGACGGTACAACTCTCTACACATGCATAAAGATGCTGCAAGGCTTAGCCTCACATGCGTGAGATGCATCGCATCTGGCATCTTGAACGGATCATTGTCAACGTCGTTCCATAATATATATATATATAATCTGTAAAGTCTCCCCAGGTATCAATAGCACACCCGGCTCCAACTGCCGTTTTGGGGCCCCCCCCCCCGAAATACAATAGTCCCTTGGGGGGACAACGGGCACGGGAAATGTATTACGCAGGCGTTGGGCATGGTCTGGGTTTTAAGCTTCGGAAGTTGACAACAACAGGTTGACATGCAGAACTACATGCAGACACTCATGCAAACACTGTCTCGGAAACACTCCTTTTCGCCGTCCATTCGTGAAGTTGTCGAGGGCGTCGTTGTGGAGTGATTTTCACTGCACAAAGAAAAGCCGTGGAACCCATCTTAGATGGTCGTTGTGGAGTGATTTTCATTGCACCATGAAAAGCCGTGGAACCCATCTTAGATGGAGGATCTCGGCACTCACACATCAGCGTGTGTCGGCAGGGCCGGCGGTGCATTGTCGTGCAACGCCCGCAGAAAGCTCAAGAGTGCCGCGCAGCCTTTGGTTTTTGTTGGAGCTGCCACTCGGAGCTCGTTCCAGCAGTTCCGACCAATGGTCTTGGTGAGGAACTTCTTGCTGAAGTAGCGTGGCGCCCGTTCAACGAGCTCAGAAGGATCCCAAGGCCCAAGGAAATGTATTACGGCGGGGGGGGCCCGTAATACATTCTCCCGTCCCGCACCAGGAAGCCCCGGAGTCTGTTTGGGAGTAAGTTCGGGGAGCTTACTGCCACAAGAAGCCACGTGCAGAAAGGGTCCCAGGGACTGTCTCAGGGCCCAGGGAAATGTATTACGACGGGGGGGCCCCGTAATACATTTCTGCGGTCCCGCACCAGGAAGCCCCGGAGTCTGTTTGGGAGTAAGTTCGGGGACAGTGCTCTGGCTTCTCTTTGCCGGCTTGGTTATTACGAGAACACAAGAACTGCCACAAGAGGCCACGTGCAGAAAGGGTTGCAGGGACTGTCTCGGGGCCCAGGGAAATGTATTACGACGGGGGGGCCCCGTAATACATTTCTGCGGTCCCGCACCAGGAAGCCCCGGAGTCTGTTTGGGAGTAAGTTCGGGGACAGTGCTCTGGTTTCTCTTCGCCGGCTTGGTTATTACGAGAACTGCCACAAGAACTGCCACAAGAGGCCACGTGCAGAAAGGGTCCCAGGGACGGTCTCGGGGCCCAGGGAAATGTATTACGACGGGGGGGGCCCGTAATACATTTCTGCGGTCCCGC